TAATGTCAGCTAAAAAACATGGGAAATACCGGCAGCTGAAGAGAGCATTCGGAGGCTACGTTTTATAGGAAATACCGGCAGCTGAAGAGAGCATTCGGAGGCTACGTTTCAAAATGATAGGTTTTTTTCAAGTAAGGCTGGAAAAATAACCGGAGAGCAGTAAAGAATGAGGGGGACAATAAAAGCATCTACAAAACGCCAGCTTAGGACCTGTAGTGTGTGATATGAACGCAAGCGGCGGATATAATGTAAAAGTTTACGGATTTTGATAAAAAGGCCTTCTATATGAAGGGAAAATGTAAGGTTGGATGCTAGTGTAACACCAAGGTATCGGAAAGAGGATACTTCGGTGGGCAGAATGTCGATAGCTTCGGGACTGGGGGAGGGTCGCAGTTTAAAAAAAAACTGGACTGACTTTCGGCGTTAAGTAGAAGGCGAGTTTTCTGACGACCATGTTAAGACATGGTCTAGGCCATCCTCCAGTATTTGGAGATGTGACTGACTTTTGAGAGGATGGCCAACAACCATATCATCAGTATATTTAGGAAATAAGCATTCGTTGGTCATGTACTTGTCACTTGCCTCCAAGTCATGTACTTTATAATTTCTGAAATTAGTCTTTGTTTATGCTCGGAGTTAATATACGTGAAACCCCATAGAAGACGTCAGGGACCCACTGAGGAGTCGAACCCCTTGTTGCAGCAGCAGAAAAATCGGCGAAACACGTTTCTGGTCTTTTAGCTGGTATCTATATCTCGAGTACCGCATAACTTCTTTGCTATAAATTCGGTCTCGCTCTCTGAAGTAATCAACAGGCGGCCACCCATACTCTTAAATGACTGCGGCGTAACTAGAATTATTCATTTTAAAAACCCTGTTGTGTTGCCACTGTTTTCTGTGAGCTCTCCTTCTGTCTAACTTGGCCTGCTTTACGAGTGGCGAGGTGCTAAAAGTGTACGTCAAGTCATCCAGGTAAGGTGGTATGTGCGTAGCTGGTAGGTTACGTGGGATGTGGTAAATGGGCAAACCAACGAACAAATGGCCTTTCTGCGCGGTGGAATATTCTGAAATTGGGCCTCAAGAAAATTAGATGCACTAGATGTCTTTGGTAGTTCAAAAAGCTACGAAAATTCCGCGGAATTGGCATTGCACCGAAGGCCGTTAGTGGCAGGCGATGAGGTCCGCTTCTGCGCTGTACCAAAAGCACAGTGGGGATTCTTGTGGCAACTGTTCCATTGGGTCTTCTTAAATTGACTGGGAAGTGGCGTGGGCGCACTCACTGATCTGACCAAACACCCTGTTATGTCTGCCGTAGTCCTGCTGTCCTATAGGTACACACAAACCAGGCTTCAAGGAAAGAAAGTTTCATGCGCAATATTAGTAGGTAGTTACTGTAGCCCGACCAGCTAGCTTGAGTGAAAGTGACTCGTTTCATTTGGGTAATAGCCTTTTATTCTACTAAATTTACCGTGTGCAATAGCAAGCTCGATGCGCCT